ATTAGTGTGGGAAATTTAACACGTCATCAATTTGGACCCAAGTTTTAAGACAGATTAGGCCCAACCATTTTCAATGATAATGGATTGGGCCAATCCATGAACCGGTCTTATTTAAACTTTCTTACTTCGATTCAGTCCTAATCTTTTCCGGGACCGATCAAACTCAGAAAATTAGAAAATTATATTGCTCGCGTCTCTTCCTTCTTCGTACTTCAATTCGATACATATGTAGAATTCATTCAAAATGCACAAAAATTATGGTTCGTTTAGAAGTACTTTTAAAATAATTAAAAGAGTTTGTAAAGAAAATGTTTTAAGATTTCAGTAGCACTTGAAGTGTTTTTTTATAATTCACTTACATTTTTACTAAAAATAAACGCTAAAAAACATTTTCACCAAAAACGCACAACTGATAATGAGAGGGTACTTGTTCGCTTGTAGGCTTCATAACTACCATTATCATCTCTGTCCTCCCTTCACGTGCCTATATCCCATATCTAAATAATTTATGTTTTCATTCATTTTAAAAACTCTTCCAAATAAACCCTTAGTATATGTATCAAACTGTGATCGACAATAAAATAAAATATAAGAAAAGTTTTTAGTTGGTATTTTTATATTCTCGTTTTTGCATATCCTTGATTATACCGTCCTTTGATTTAATATAATAAAAATAAAACGAAAATTGAAAGGGAACCAAATCAAATGACGAAAAAATACAAAGGCACACAGAAGATAAAAATTATATATATGAAATATGGATACTTTAAAAGTATAAAATACCTGTCGGAAGGAGCCGTGTACTTTCCGCAAAAGGAAAAGAAGTGATCGACAGCTTGTGCTGAGCTCACATGTCCTCAAGAATAATATTTACCATTATTGTGTGTTTTTTATTTCTTGGCAAAACATTATTGTCATATTTTATTGTTCAATGATTATGATAATGGAATTATTAATCATGGATTAATTATTCTAATTAACCAATTAAGTGCAATAATATGGTTGAGCCACATAATGTATATCCCCTCAACGCCCGCCTCCCGAATATAGGTTTTGACATGAATCACATAAGGGTAAATTGTTACCTTAGAAATATTTGATAAAACTCAAAATACTCATGAATCTTTTCAAATGCTTGTTTGAGATTTATCATCTTGGTTTAAAAAGAATTTAAGAAAAATATTTTTGTCTTTGATTGGTGTAATTAACGAATTAAATTTTAAAATAAAATTTTTAAAAACAATTATTCAAAGATAATTATGATATAAAATACCGCGCTTAAAGAACTAAAAAAGACCAAAATTATAATTTGACCGATACAAAAGATTTTTTTCTTCCCGCAAATTACACAATTGAAGTGAAACTTCATCCAAATTACAAAGCATAAATTAAAGTTTTAGCCTATAAATTTGATTTCTTCTAGAATTTGACGATTTAAGAAAAAGGGAAGATTGAGGTATAAATTAAAAATCGAGCTTTAGAATTTGAGAATTTAAAAGTACTAAAAGTGTAAAAAGCCAAAAATAAATAAACGCGCATACTTGGACGCCTCCAAAATTTCTCTCCCTCTAAAATATCTCTCCCCAGTTTTTTCTCAATTCATTTTTTGCCGTCTTTCTTTTGTCTGAGACGAGAGAAGAGAGCTAGTAAGAACCCCACAAGTACACCGGAGGGAGAGGAGGGAAGGATGCATAGGCGCCCAGATCAACGGTCGAGATCCGCCAAGCCCACTACCATCCACGGCTGCGCTCAGTCCGGCGACCTTAATGGGTTTCAGAAGCTGCTTCGGGAAAACCCATCTCTTCTCAACGAGAAAAATGCCGTTGTAAGATCTCCTCTTGTAAATTCACGAAATTGGGTTTTGTCAAGCGTACGACTTCGTGTCGAAAGCTGGCGTCTTTGCGATTCTGGGTGCATTTTGTTTGATGGGTTTTGTGCCATTTTTATCATTAGGAATGTTTACCAATTGGGTTATGAAAATTTTGTGAATTTCAACTGTTTCGTCATGTTTCTTAATCACCCTAATGTAGGATTAGTGTTCTGCAATCTTATACTCGATTTGCATGATTTTGTAACTGTATGTGGATGTCGGTGCAATTTGTTGGGAAAAAATTGGGACTTCCATTGCATAAAGGAAGGGAAGCGTTGACCTTTTTCTTGGCAAATGTATTTTGGTAGCCTTTAAATTGCTATGTAGTTGTGGATTAAGTACCGTTTGATGTTTTTGGTGGATTGAAGAGGAAGCAATTGTGCTGGATCTAAATGTTCACCGTTCAATGTATTTTGGTAGATGATCATACTACTAATTTAAGCTAATTGAGTTTCATTTATGGATGGTATGCGTGGCCAAATTGAAGATCCGATCCTGTACTGTATGTAGTTTTTCGAAGGCATATACTTTTCTTTGGCCAGGTCATAAGCCTTAGTTTTTTCAACTACAGAAAGGGTAGTTCAAAAAAGGAATATTTCATTAGAAGGTTTTCTTTGAAGTTCCGGTTAGTAAACCAGCAGGGCATTTATTTTATCATTTTGGTGATAATTATGTAGGATAGTGCCATTATCATTGAACGTGAACATTCAAGTAAGGTTATCTCATCCTCTAATGAATCTTTTTGTTTCCCAAAATGCAGATGGCACAAACTCCTCTTCATGTTTCTGCTGGTTACAACCGGGGTGAGATAGTTAAATTTCTTCTTGATTGGCGAGGGCCGGGTGAAGTTGAGTTGGAAGCCAAGAACATGGTAGGTAAAATGTTTATTTACAGATCTGAATTTTGCATTACATTAATTGTTTCGAAACTCAATTTTGGAACTGAATTTGTTGTCTATTTGCTTAATAGATTTCTTATTTGATTTGCGTGGCAATAACATGTTGAGCTTTGCAGTACGGAGAAACACCATTGCACATGGCAGCAAAGAATGGATGCAATGATGCTGCACGGTTGCTTCTTGTCCATGGTGCTTTTATCGAAGCCAAAGCAAATGTAATTCGTTTCTCCCGAGTCAGTTTCTGTTGAGTTTTAGATTTCTAACCATCGTTTCAGTGTACTCATGTTTAAAAAGTCTCTCCTTTCCATGCAGAATGGAATGACCCCATTACACCTTGCTGTGTGGTACTCACTTACAGCTGACGATTTCTCAACTGTCAAAACATTACTAGAGTACAATGCTGATTGCAGTGCTAAGGACGATGTATTGCTCATTTCATTTACTTGCAATATTCTATTTACTCAAGCGTAACGCCAAAGTATATGCTAATGCTATTGCCCTTGAATTGTAGGAGGGCATGACTCCTATACATCATGTATCAAAAGGCCGTGCAAATGGAAAGCTGCGGGAACTATTACAGTGGCACTATGAAGAGCAGAGGAGAAAAAAGGCAATTGAAGCATGCAGTGAAACTAAAGCTAAGATGGATGAACTTGAAAGTGAGTTATCAAATATTGTTGGTTTGCATGAGCTCAAGGTACAACTACGGAAATGGGCAAAGGGTATGCTTTTGGACGAGAGGCGTAAAGCTCTTGGGCTGAAAGTTGGTGTTAGGAGACCGCCTCATATGGCCTTTCTTGGAAATCCCGGAACTGGTAAGTTGTTTAGATCATGAAACCTATTTCTTTAAAGACAAATTATAACATGCAACTAACATTTTCATAAGCGTAAAAAGAAACAAAGGAATATGCTTTGTTGGGTTACATCTTTTTATTATCATTATGATGTATATGGTTGTTGCTATCAACAGGTAAGACCATGGTAGCTCGAATTCTTGGAAGATTACTCCATATGGTGGGAATTCTACCTACTGATAAAGTAACAGAAGTACAGAGGACCGATTTGGTTGGGGAATTTGTTGGTCATACTGGACCCAAAACCAGGAGGAAGGTAAGACAATGATCTTTTATAAACTATTTCTGTTCTACTTTCACACTCAGGACGTGAGTACTCAACTGTGACACCCTAATTGTAATGTTCTGACAGATTAAAGACGCAGAGGGAGGAATTCTTTTTGTAGATGAAGCTTATCGACTAATACCTATGCAGAAGGCAGACGATAAAGACTATGGCTTGGAAGCATTGGAAGAGATCATGTCTGTCATGGATAGTGGAAAAATTGTAGTCATATTTGCAGGATACAGCGAACCAATGAAACGTGTGATAGCTTCAAATGAAGGTTTCTGTCGACGCGTGACCAAGTTTTTCAATTTCAGCGACTTCACTTCAGAAGATCTAGCAAAGATTCTCCATATCAAGATGCATAATCAGACAGAGGAGAGCTTGTTGTATGGATTCGAGTTACACTCATCATGCAGTATAGAAGCTGTTGCAGATCTGATCGGAACAGAGACAACAGAAAAGCAGTGTAAGGAGATGAACGGAGGTTTGGTGGATACTATGTTAGTGAATGCTAGAGAGAGTTTGGACCTTAGGCTCGATTTTGATTGTATAGACACGGAAGAACTTAGAACAATCACCCTAGAGGATTTACAGGCGGGCCTTCGAATTTTGTCACACTGAGGCAGGTTTGGAGTAAATTTAAAAATAAATCAAGAAGACAGTCGTGAGATCATAAGCATGAAGAGAAAGCTTTGCAGGTATAGCTCAGATTGGTTTGAAATGTTCGTTTCTCCAGCTCTCGTTCGATTTCTAGATGCAGTCACTATGATCCGTGACAGCTTACTGCTGGAGATACAGAGGTTTGCAGAAATTATTTTATTCATTGTGATTTGATTACTTGTTGGCAGGTATTGGTGTAATTTACAGTTTTTTTCTATGATAGTAGAAATCCATTGTTCAAAAACTTTCAAATTTCAGTTGCTTGTTTAATTTTTTGTTCTAATGAGTAGAGAGAACTGTCTTTCATTGTGACTTCCCTTGCCTCCACTTCTACCCCGTAGCTATCACACCGGATATGATCGGCATGAGTTCGCGTGAGATCAAACTACAATGGTGTCTTATATATTTGTGAAAATTACACACAATTGACGTGGTCAGGTATTATTATTGAAGATTTAAAAAGAACTTTACTGGAAAATTATGTACACATGTCAAATTATGATTTGTCTAGTGAAATTTCCTACGTCATGTAACACATGGTTTAGTAAAACTACATGCCATTAGGTTTAGTAAACAAGAAAACTAATGAAAAAGAATTGAAAATTTTGAGTTTTAATTATAATAACAAAATAAAGGGTAAAATAAACAGTACCTGTAAAAATAAGATTTTTCGTTAAAATAATCGGTATGGGAGTTTTTCGTTAAAGTTAAACTACGTGCCATTGGTGAAATTATTGATAGTTTTGAGGGGTATATATTGCATTTGAGCAGTAAAACTGTTGGGCCCAAAAGGGCCAAGACCCAACAGAAACGCATGAAGTTTGGTGCAAGCTGTGTAGCTCGAGGCCCTATTCGTCTCCCCCACCGAACCAAACCCTCGCAAAATCCTGCAAACCCCTAATTCATCCCGTTAGCTGTTTCAGACGAAAATGGTGAAGAGCGAAGCCAAAGCGCCGCAGCCGGCAGAGTACACCGCCGCGCTACTCCCGATAGTGGAACCGAAAAAAAAGAGGTGGGAGAAGAAGAAAAAGAAGAACCCCATCGCAATCTCTCTCGATCCTGACGGAAACCCGATAGTCCCAGCGGCAGTCCTGGGCGGCGAGAAGAGTACAGGTACAGTTCGGGTCGAGGTGGGATTGGAAAACCCAGGTGTTGGTTTGCCGAAATCGATTGAACAAATAGTCTCGAGCAATGACACGGCAACCTCAGTCCCTGCTGAGGTGGGATTGGGAAACCCAGTTGTTGATGCGGCAAAATGTGTTGACCCAATAGTTCCAACGCCGCAGTCGGAAAAGCACTCAGCCGCTCTGGTCTCGGAAGCAGCGCCGAAAAAGAAGAGGTGGGAGAAGAAGAAAAAGAAGAATCCAATCGGAATCTCTCTTGATCCTGACGGAAACCCAATAGTCCCAACAGCAGACCCGGGCGGCGAACAGAGCAAAGGAAAAGTCCCGGTTGAGATGGGATTGGAAAACCCAGTTGTTGGTTTTCCGAAATTGATTGAACAAACAGTCCCAAGCCCGATAGTCCCGAACAAGGAGAGGGAAATCACTGTCCCTGTTGAGGTGGGATTGGGTAACCCAATTGTCGATCCCCAAAAATCTGTTGAAATGGTAGTCCCAACGCCGCAGCCGGCCGAGCACGCCGCCATGCCGCTCCCCGAAGCAAAGCCGAAAAAGAAGAGGTGGGAGAAGAGGGAAAGGAAGAACCCAATCGCAGTCTCTCTTGATGCTGACGGAAACCCAATTATTGATTCCCTAAATCCTGTAGAAATAATAGTCCCAACGCCGCAGCCGGCAGAGCACGCTGCCGTGCCGCTCCCAGAAGAAGCTCCGAAAAAGAAGAAGTGGGAGAAGAGGAAAAGGAAGAACCCAATCGTAGTGTCTCTTGATGCTGACGGAAACCCAATTGTCGATTCTAAAAAAATTCTTGAAAAAATAGTCCCAGCGCCACAGCCGGCAGAGCACGAAGCTGCGCTGCTCCCGGAAGCAGAGCTGAAAAAGAAGAGGTGGGAGAAGAAGAAAAAGAAGAACCCAACCGTAGTATCTCTTGATGCTGACGGAAACCCAATTGTCGATTCCCAAAAATCTGTTGAAATAATAGTCCCAGCGCCGCAGCCGGCAAAGCACGAAGCTGCGCTGCTCCCGGAAGCAGAGCCGAAAAAGAAGAGGTGGGAGAAGAAGAAAAAGAAGAACCCAATCGTAGTGTCTCTTGATGCTGACGGAAACCCAATTGACGATTCTCAAAAATCTGTTGAAATAATAGCCCCAGCGCCGCAACCGGCAGAGCACGAAGCTGCGCTGCTCCCGGAAGCAGAGCCGAAAAAGAAGAGGTGGGAGAAGAAGAAAAAGAAGAACCCAATCGTAGTGTCTCTTGATGCTGACGGAAACCCAATTGTCGATTCTCAAAAATCTGTTGAAATAATAGTCCCAGCACCGCAACAGGCAGAGCACGAAGCTGCGCTGCTCCCGGAAGCAGAGCCGAAAAAGAAGAGGTGGGAGAAGAAGAAAAAGAAGAACCCAATCGTAGTGTCTCTTGATGCTGACGGAAACCCAATTGTCGATTCTCAAAAATCTGTTGAAATAATAGTCCCAGCACCGCAACAGGCAGAGCACGAAGCTGCGCTGCTCCCGGAAGCAGAGCCGAAAAAGAAGAAGAAAAAGAAGAACCCAATCGTGGAGACTGATGGAAACCCAATTGTCGATTCCCAAAACTCTGTTGACATAAAGGAACAAGCGTTACAGCCAGAGCCAGAGCCTATAGGCCCAACTGCAGTCCCGCTTGAGGTAGAATTGGAAAACCCAGTCGTTGATTTGCGCAAATCGATTGAACAAACAGTCCCGAGCAATGAGAAGGCAATCACAGTCCCTGTTGAGGTGGGATTGGGGAATCCAGTTGTTAATGCTGCGAATTTTGAAGCAATAGTCCCAAGCAAGAAGAGCAAGAGAAAGAAGAGCAAAACCACAGTCCCAGGATTGGAAAATCCAGTTGCTGATGCGCCAGAAGCAGAGCAGACGGGACTGATTCCGAAGCCTGAGTCGATAGTTCCAGTAACAGTCCCGAGCACAACCACAGTCCCTGTCGAGGTGGGATTGGAAAACCTAGTTGTTGATGCGCCAAAATCTGTTGAAGCAATAGTCTGTAGCGCAACAGTTCCGAGCAAGAAAAGGAAGATAAAGAAGAGCAAAACCACAGTCCCTTTTGAGGTAGGATTGGAAAACCCAGTTGCTCATGCACCACAATCTATTGAGGTGGAGCAGGCGGGACTGGTTCCGAATCCTGAGCCGATAGTTTCAATGACAGTCCCGAGCACAACCATAGTCCATGTCGAGGGCGGATTGGAAAACCCAGTTGATTTGCCAAAATGTATTGAAGGAGAGCATGCTGGAGTGCTTCCGAAGCCTGAGCCAGTAGTCCCATCAACAATGCCGAGCAAGAAGAGGAAGAGAAAGAAGAGCACAGATAATGTCCCTGTTGATGTGGGATTGGAAAACACAGTTGTTGATGCGCCAAAACCTATTGAAGTAGACCAGGTGGGACTGTTTCAGAATCTGGAGCCGATAGTCCCACTGACAGTCCCGAGCACAACCACAATCCCTGTCGCGGTGCGATTGATAAACCCAGTTTTTGATGCGCCAAATTTTTTTAACGGAATTGTCTGGACCCCACAATGTGGAAGCTCGAGAATATATGAGAACAATAATAACACTTCCACATTCCCTATCGATGTGGAAGCTCGAGGATATGTTGAGGTGGGTTCAATTTGCATTTGTCATTGGTGAATCAAATCTGATTTTTATCTGTTTGTAAGTTGATAATAATTCCTAGTAGTTAACATAGATTAGAAAAGAAGGATTGTCTGATGAATATTTGTTGCAATTTTGTTGCTTAATCCTGGAAATATTGTGTATGCCTTGATTCAATTTTGGGTTTCCCTCAAGCGTTTGAAGAAGTTATATTTATTGCAGTCTTTGGGGAAATTGGTTAGTTCTCTAGTTTTATCAGGAGTCGACTTATAGTGATGATCTCGTGTGTGTTGCTTGCAGATATGTGTCCTATGTCGGAAAAAAGGGCATAGCATCCCGACTTGCCCTGAGCTGAACAACCTCCATGTGCGTAGTGGAGTCCCGAAACTTGAAATGGAAATGAGAGAGAAGTTACCACCGATGCCTTGGGGTAATGCCCTTCCTATGTTTTGTCTCTTTGGTTCATGCTTTGATATGTGCAAAAGATCACTGTATGTTGCTTAGATACATTTTTGGTACCTCGTCATAATATGTTTTTCCGATGATAAAATCGTGCATCTTTCATCAATTGCCCTTTTGTTCTATCTTTTATGCAACAGCATGGATTTGAAGTTTCAGGAGCATGAAAGGGTTTATCGATATATGTTGATTTGTTTTCCTGCTGCTTTTTGTGAAGTCAATAATTTGAGTTACCATTTAGGTAGATCTAACCGACAATGTAGGAAACAAGTAGACCATTAGGCAATAGTTGCAAGACGCTCAAATTATGAGACAAGTTTTAAAATTTTCGATTATAAGCTCAAGAGACATTAGAACATAACCTCTTTTCCCCTACATCTCTCCTATTTATTTTGAGTTGCAGACTCCATTGATGTCCTTGGCATGTTGGCTTTGCAATGTCTCTGACAATGATCATGACTTTCCCAGTAAAATTGGAAGTTTGGTTTATTGGTTTATCATAGATTTGGTTTGAACTCCAGTGGGGTCGAGAATTTTAAGTTGGTGTGCAAACTTATTCCAAGATACGGAAATAATTTGACCCCCGATACTCATTGTGTACAAATAAATCAACTAGTGTTACTTTCACATATATGAGGTTAGTCAGTGTGATTCAATCCCTGGTATTTTCCGTAACTCCCTTGAACTTCCTAAGCTGTTTCTAGTATGCTGTGTTGGTAGGTGCTTTTCGAGTCTCTGACTCCGTGGTTGGGGAAATGCAAGGATGTAGTGATAGACTGATAGTTTGTGAGGGTGTTTTTCTTGGTTAATACCATGCAGGTTACTAAGTTTATAGCTTTCTTGTTTTCAGGTAGACGGAAGAGGAAGAAAAGTAGTGGTGGTAAAGAAGTCGGTCCATTGTGAAAGCGGGTTCGACTTCTTATTCGCAAGAAGAAAAGGAGTTTCATGAAGATTTTGCGCGATGAAATTCATGGGATTTCTTGTTGTTCCCTTTTGTTTTTATTTTTTCCATCTACGCCCGGCTCCAACATATCTATGCTTGTCCGGTGAAATTTTTTCGTGATGGACTCGAAATGAAGGCGAAGAAACGACCGAAAACTGTCGATTTTACATGGTTCTGAAATTGTTGAGCACTGAAGTTCCATTTCAATTTCTGTGGCCTTGTACTTGGTGTGTGAAATTATGTTGTTAGTCTCTTCCAAGGACAAGGAAGAGTATGGCTTTAATCCCAATATTTTCTGTTCGGATAATTTTATTTAAATCCATCCACACCCAGCTCACTTTTTACACCTATATTATTTTTAAAGAAACTGTTAATATCTTTTTAAACTCAAATTTATCACCTAAACCACACTCACAAACCTAGTTCAATATGATCAGAAAGTATGTTAGGTTTCGTGTCGAGTGAACAATTTCATTAAAATAAAGACAAAACTTCAAAAAAAAAAAAAAAAGATTTTGATTCTGTCAGCCACAAACTTTGAATAATGCTTTGTCCATCACTCTAGAATGGTCAATATGATTCTTGAGTACACATCAAGAACTTTGTGCAATCATGAGATTGATCGAGAAGATCATTGCCGTGGTGCCACCACAGCTGCCAAGAGGGCTTTAAATCTTGTGTCATGCTTTGCGGGTCTCCGACTAAAAAAACTAGTGAATACCCTTAGCGTCTTAGAGTTCTATACATTCACCCCATCTCAAGGAACTTCTTTAGATAAAACTCTATTTTTTCCTCTTTTTGGGTGGTAAATATTTCTCAGAATATAGAGTATGAATCAAACCCATGTGCCTAGGTGATAGGTGTGGGTTTATTGATAAATTTTAGTTTTATTGTTAATTTCATCATATACTTGATGATAATTATGCAATAGGGTAAAAAAAGAAATTCACATTTAAAATTTAAGTTGAGTGTAAAGAGGTTATATGAGTTTAAATAAAATTTCTCTTTCTGTTTTCTATCACTTGCCCATTTCTAATGTGATACAACCTGAAAAAGAAAAGAAAAAAGAAAATATGCATAAATAAAATCGGTTAATTATGAATTACTTTTTTGGCATTTTTTTAATAAACTTTATATTTTCTAAAAAATAAAGAGCAATTACAGACTGAAAAAAAAAATTGTCACAAGTTAATTCAATTTTAATGCGTAAAATTTATGGATGCCTGCACATATACTATTTAAAATACACGATCAACACCGTCAACAATTTTAAATTCAATTTTATCATTCATGTGTAAACTTTTTCCTGAAAAAACTACTGATTGTGTTGTTTTATGTGATATATATATATATATATATATATATATATATATATATATATAAGTGTTATAGGCATTTTAAAATTTTCATTCTACACTTTTTAGAAGTGTATTTTTTTCCTAATATAAAAAGTTTGGAGTGTAAAATGAGATTTTTGAAATGCTAATAATAATTCATTATATATATATATTTTATATTTCACATGTCATGGTCTGCGATAATATTATTTCAACGAAAAAAATATTATATTTTTTGTCATATAATTTCCAATTTTCCAAAATGAAAATCCAAAAAAGAACAATCCATTTCCAAGATTTTATTAAGAAAAAAATCCCGCGAGGTACAACCACCTTCCTTTTTGGCCAATGGATTCACTCCATCGACCAACTCCATTTCCTCTTTGTTTTGTTTATCTGGACGCCCCCCATCTCTCTCTCTCTCTCTCTCTCTCTGGAGAAAGCAACTAAGCAAGCATGGTCTCAGCTTCTCTCTCCATTCTCTCCTCCTCCTCCTCCTCCTTGTTTCCCTCCAACTCCGCCACTCACTTCGATGCTTCCTCCACCTCCACCAGCTTCAAAGCCAGGCCCTTCGAATCCTCCAAACGGACCCTCAGATTCTCCAGACTCCCAAAGCTCCTTCCTTTCAAGGTCTTCGGCTCTTCCTCCCTCAGCCCAATTGAGGACGGCTCCGCCGACCAGTTTTTGCAGAACAATTCAATTGCGGATTTCATGCGGTTCAAAAGGGGTCCCGATGGCGGAACCGGGGAGCTGCAGACGGCGGTTGTCAGCTACAAAAAGCGGTTCCCTTGGTCGCTTTTGAGGCCGTTTCTTCAGGTATTGGGTGTAAAGTTGGATTCTTTGATTTGAGTTCTTTTGTTCCGTTTGTGGGGTTTGTTTCTAATTTGTTTATTTTTTTTTGGGTTGTTCTTGTTTTGGTGTTGTAGGTTGATTTGGTTTCGACAATTCACATCGCGGATAAACAGTATGTATCTTCAAACAATCGTTGTTATTTTTGCGCAATTGCTTCTTCGTTTGTAGTAGTTTTGGATTAGCTACTTATGATTGGAATTGTTTAATTGTTAGTGAAATATATGAACTCGGAAGCTAAAGCCTTATTAGTTATCGATTGAGTGGAAAAGTTGTTGCTCAAACATCGTGCGTGATTTGAGCTAAATAAATGCAATGCTAGTGGTTTGAGAGATGAAGCTTTAAAGGGTAGCTTTCATGTAAGTTTAAAGTGTTTTCATGAAAAAAATGAAGTTTTGAAGGGTAGCTTTCGTATAAGTATTACACATAACTTTGTTGGGCTGTGATTTCAAGGGAAAAAATGTACATTCGACGCTAGAATGCTAATGAAATGCATGCCAAGATTGTTAGAGACTTGGTGCTAGGAAAGTGCCTTAATCAATTTTATGTCATTTTTTGAAACTTAAATGATATGATATGCAGAAATATTTCGTTTTGGGCTCGATTTTAGATTCACCTTGTTAACTGTTATTAACTTTCGGCAGTGGCTGATATTTTTTTTTCGGTAACAGAAGTTGATGCTGACTTAATCTGTATGAGTATAGATTGGTTGTCCCAGCCGTTACAATGTTAATGATCTTAAATATGATTTCCAGGTACTTTGAGACCCTCCAAAAGGAACTTGAGTCCTATGATTGTGTCCTTTATGAGATGGTGACTAGCCGGGAAAGTTTAGAGAACAGAAGATTCCTTGCTGCCACGAAAAGACTAAAAGTCAAAGGCTCACGCTCAAGAGGATTTAACATCCTGGGATTCATTCAGCGACAGATGGCTCGGGTTCTGACTCTTGATTTCCAATTAGACTGTCTTGATTATGAGTCTGAGAATTGGTACCATGCAGACCTTGACTTCGAGACTTTCAAATTGCTTCAGGTATGTATCTTCTCTCTCCTTTTTGGGGGGTGTAAAATGCTTGAGGATCATTGGTCCATCTAATGCCTTTTTCAATTCTTTCAGGAAGAAAGGGGTGAAAGCTTCTTCACGTTTGCAAGAGATATGACTGTTAGATCCACAAAAGCTATGATTCAAACTGTTTCAATTCCAGAAGGCCTTGGTCCCTGGAGATCTAAGCTTTTGTGGGCCGCACGTGTGCTTCCGATGCCACTTGTTGGCCTTCTCATTATCGGAGGTGTCTGTGCAGACACGGGCAGTCAGGAATCGGAATTTCCAGAACTAGAAGCCTTGTCTAGGCTTGATTTAGGTGCTGCGATGAAGGTCTTCTTGGCCAAGAGACTAACATCTGAGTAAGTATTTGCCAAGAGTTTCGCTTTCCGTCACTTCTTCTTGATGAACGAATTTTCATAACTGATCAAATGAATTATCAATTGGGTTTTTAGTCTCAAAACGGTATTGTGAATTGGTGCAAAAATTTGAATAGGAAAGTTGTTAGTATGCAGGAAACTCAAAACTAACACACATGTGTTACTTGGTTCAGATTCACGCAGGCTACAGCCGATGTAGAAGAGAGCTCAGTGATCATTGGTGAGAGAAACAGAGCTGCCATGGATGCTCTTCAAAAAGCAATCGACAGCGGGAACAACAAGATTGCAATACTATATGGAGGGGGTCACATGCCAGACCTGGGGAGACGATTGCAGGAGTTGGAGCTGATCCCTACTCAAGCACAATGGATTTCCGCATGGTCCATAAGGAAACAGGATCTGAAGAGCAGTTCCCTTCCATTTCTGAAGACGATGGCGGAAGTATCAGGTTGGCCTTTGAACCGCTACCAGACTTTGGCATTGCTCATATTTTCCACGGTCCTCGCGTTGGATCTATGGTTTTGGGAGCTCTTTTTCGGCACCGCTGTGAACTGGACGTATCAACTTGCTTCACAAGTCACTGAATATATTGACAATGCAGGGATGAATTTGTAGAAATAGTCTCCGAATCCCATTGCTCTGATTCTTTATATGTAAATACAGTAACAATCTCTGATTGGATTATAAAAATTTACAAACCAAAACTATTTCTGAAAAGTAAATGCAAGGATCTAACTTGTAATTCATAGCCAAAGCTCAGATGGAAGCTGATGATCTACTTAAAACGACGACGAGGTTCTCTTCTTTCTTGGAGCTGCCTCACTACCTGCAATTCACAACCACCACAGAGAAAACCCTAAACACGTAAAGTGGTTTAGCGGAAAAACACATCATGTGTGGAGTGTGCTCCTTTGTATAAGTAATTTTAGTTTTTGATGAAAAGTCAAATAAGTAAAAGCACTTGTACAGTTATACTGAAACACTGTCACTAGCTTTATCAAAAAGCAAAACGAACCCTTTTTTTTCTTTTTTTCTTTTTTTTTTCGGAAGCAAGGGAAAACCTACAAAGGCACATAAGCCAAAAGAGAACAGGAAAGCCTACAGGGCAGTGGCGAAACCAGAAATTTTAGAGAGGAGGGGCGAAATTTAAAAAGTTTAGGGTCCTGGAAAAATGTGAACATTAATTCGAGGTCTAAGTCCAGGATTTGTAAGAAGATTATTTGAACTACGTATAATATTTATAGGAGAATTTGCACTAACCAAAATATTCAAGAGGATTTGGACTACTCAAAATAGTCGAAGTAGGGTTTGAACAACAATATTATTTGAAGAATGATTTAGCACCGTTTCTTGTTGTATCGTCCTATTACTTAACTATATAATTAGTGAAGTTTAAAAAGATACTAAGCTCTAGTCAGGCAGTGAACATGACTTTACACTTAGGCGAGGACCTAGGCAAATTTGAACAAATTTATTATATACCGTATAAATAATTGTCTATTTATTATACATCATATAATATCCGAAAAACACTGATTATAAAACATATAATATAAAAATATTAACAAATTTTCTTTATTACTTTGTTGAATTTGATGGTAAGAGGAAAAAAAAACAAATAATTACGAGTTCGTAATATTTTACAAATTATTTTTTGAAGCTCGTATAAATTTATAGTGAATTTTAAGATAAATAACAGTGTCAAATAAGTGGCTTAAAAAATAAGAGTGGTCAAATTAATTGGACAATAATTAAAAAACAAAACAAATTCCAATATAAATAAGTAATAGCAAGTTAGGTGGCACAAATTGATTGGCCACTAGTTAAAAAAAAAAAACAAATTGTAACTGCACGTGGGGTGGGATGGGAGAGAGAGAAAGTCTCTCTCTTCTTCCTTTCTCTTCTTCTTCGTCAGAACCTCTCCATTTGCATAAGCTACAAAATGCAGATCTTTGTTCCTCCTTTCTTTGCCGCCTAGGTATTTTTTTTTTTGGAAAAAAGAGAGCTCGCGATCAGCATGTGGTGCGATAGAGTAGGGAAACTCAAAAAGCCAGAAAACCACACGAAATTTCATCACTTCCGACGAGACTGGAGGGGCGGAACCATCGCTCTTGGGCTTGATTTCCGGCGTGGGGAGTCGCAGCCGCCACTCCTCGCCCTCACGTAGCTTCGCCACTGCTACAGAGAGGCAAACACCAAGAAGGCAAACAAGTAGTGAACGGGGATACAACACAAAGACACCTCCACCAAGTGGAAGCGTCACCCCATACACCACCACAACGAAATTAATGAGGACATGGAGGATTATCATTGTGCAAAACATAAAACTTAATCGATAGTGATCTTTCTCGAAGAATGCCCTCCTTCTTGATGTTTCAAACTTTCACCACTTTTGTTCATCTCTTTTAATGAGTGATAATGTTTATCATTTTATTTATCAGTATTTGATGAGTTTAAATTTTAACATTTATGTCTATTCAGTACGCATATCCCAAAAATTAAAATCACCTTATAGTAATAAATAAGGTGTGAGCAAAGATTAGAACTTTAGTAAAAAGTGTGTTAAAGAGTGGTGAGCTTCAATAAAACCGATATCTCATTTTAAAAAAAACATAAAAAAAAAAAACGAAGTTGTTATGAAAGAAGTCGAATGAATGAACGAGTTATGACTCAACCCAAAAGAAAATTGAATGAAAGAGAGATGACTCAAAAATTTGTCACTCTGACTCAAAAGGTACTTAATCACCACTTTATCATAGCTTATTGGCTAAGAAAATAGCCTAATAAAGATTTAATATCTTAGAATCACGTAAACGTTTTAATTAGTATTACCCTTTCGATATATGATTTGTTTGAAATTATTTTTAAAATGATAGAAAATGCTTTTAAATAAAATGTTTATGGGTTTCACTTTTTTCAGAATTCATTTACATTTTAATGAAAATTGATTCTGAATGTATTTTCACAAAAAATATTTTCAACCATTTTAAAAACGTTTACAAACGAGCTCATAAAACTTAAAACGGAAAAAGAAAAGAAAAAAAAGAATAATACACATTGAAGTCAACAAGTATGTGTAGGAGTAAGACTTTGGATAAAAAGCAAAAGCAAGAGTAAATATTAACAGAGAAAATGCCACTACAAATAAAGGTTACTGCTTCGGCTGCTGAACTTGTTGTTCGTTCCCAAGTTATGCCGAGTTTTCTCACTCCTCCGTCACGCAATTTTGCTCCCTTCTGCAACCTAACAAAACCTATCCACTCTCAGTCCCTCCCTCACCAAACCAACAGAAACTGAGATCTTTACCTAAAATATCCTCAGAAGAAGGAGAAGGAGTTGGGAAATGGATGTGATTGTGGATCCAGGGGAGGGGCAAATCGGTCAAAGAAAATCCGGGATGAACAAGTACACAATTGTCTGCGCTCTCTTGGCCTCCGCAAATTCCATTCTTTTGGGTTATGGTAAGTTCTTTGTGGGTTTTTTCTACCATTTCCGTCGGAAATTGTTCCTGGCATTTTCTAATTCATAAAAACAAAGTTTTTTTTAGTCAAAATGTTATGTAAAATTTAAAATTGATAGAAGTGATATCTGAGATTGTCTACCGTCAATCATTCTAAGAAATCTTCGGACATTTTTTCACAGAATGGCTAAAATGATTGACGATGAACTATTTTAGATAAAAAGGCATTAAGGCATTGGAGAGAAAGAAGTATAGAATGACTGTTGTGGAGCGTTGATAACAGTTTCATTTCCATCAATTTTACCAAAGAAATTGCGTAAAATTTGTGCAGATATCGGAGTGATGAGTGGTGCGGTGCTCTACATCAAAGAGAATCTCAAGATCACATCAACCCAAGTGGAAATTTTGGTAGGAACCCTAAACGTGTTCTCTTTGGTAGGATCACTAGCATCCGGCAAGACTTCGGATTATATAGGCCGGCGTTACACTATAGTCCTAGCCGCTTGCACATTCCTAATAGGTGCACTCCTCATGGGCCTAGCGCCGTCCTACCCATTTCTAATGGCGGGACGTGTCGTGGCCGGCATTGGTGTCGGCTACGCCCTCATGATCGCTCCCGTACACAGCTGAGCTATCCCCCGCCATGAGCCGGGGATTCCTCACCTCTCTTCCGGAAGTGTTCATCACATTCGGGTTATTACTCGGTTATATTTGTAACTACGCCTTGTCCGGCCTACCGCCGCACATAAATTGGAGGCTGATGCTCGGGTTGGCGGCGGTGCCGGCAATCGGAATTGGGTTGGGAGTTATAGCAATGCCTGAGTCCCCTCGTTGGCTTGTGATGAAGGGGAAATTAAGGGAAGCAAAAGAGGTCTTACTGAAAACATCATGTTCTGAAGAGGAAGCTCAACTGAGGCTTGAGGAGATGAGTAAGGCTGCTTTGGAATTACCCACAGGCCCATTAACGGCCCAGGAAGATTCTTCGGCTGGTGGGCCTGGACGAGGGGCTTGGAAGGAGCTCTTGCTGCGTCCTTCGAAGCCCATTCGTCGGATGCTCGTTGCTGCCATAGGGATCAACTTTTTCATGCAAGCTTCCGGCAACGACGCCGTCGTTTACTACTGCCCGGAAGTATTTAGGGCAGCTGGAATTCACAGCAAGAAACAGCTCTTCGGTATTAATGTCATAATGGGCCTTGCCAAGACATCCTTTGTTTTCATCTCGGCGAGTTACTTGGACCGGTTTGGGAGGCGGCCCCTTTTGTTATTGGGCTCGGTCGGGATGGTGGTCTCGTTAGCTGGGCTGGGCCTGGGATCAAAATTTCTCGAGCATTCTAGTAGTAAGCCCACATGGGCCATTGCCTTGTGTATCGTGGCTGTTTGCGCCGATGTTTCGTTCTTTTCGATTGGGCTTGGGCCCATAACTTGGGTCTACTCATCGGAGATCTTTCCGATGAGGTTACGGGCCCAGGGTTCGAGTCTAGCCATATCGGTGAACCGGTTGGTAAGCGGGGTGGTGTCGATGACATTTCTAACCATCTCTAACAAGATAACATTCGGGGGAGTGTTTTTCGTGCTATCCGGAATAATGGCGGTTGCAACGGTGTTCTTTTACTTCTTTCTGCCAGAGACAAAAGGCAAGACCTTGGAAGAAATGGGGACGATTTTTGAAGACAAGGACACAATAAATGTGAATAGGGTGAGGGAAATGAGAGAGATGTAGTGATTGTGTTGCCCTAAACGCCTTGTATTTTTTGTTCTACTATGAATTAAAAACACGTAATATGTTAATTTAGAGTGTTGAGATTGTATATTCAAAAGATATCAAGGTGAAAAAGCTACAATTAGAAGTTGCTTCTAATTAATTCGGGATGAAAGGTGGTGAACAAATCCGTAACAATAGTGACCAAGGGAAGGTTGATATACTTGTATTCTTCAATAAAAATGAAAATTCTGTTTGATTCCTAGCGTTGACGAATCACACGATAACAATAAGAAGAATGCTGAAATGGTCTTTGTAAGTTTTTTCAACAAAATGGGCTATCGCAACTTCGCCACCAGCTACTCTCCTTTTCTTTTTCTTTTCTTTTTTTTTGAAAGGAAAGAATAATAAACAATTCGTGCATGTTGGCCCAAAATTGGTGGCCAATGGAGATTGTTAATTAAGTATATCAGATTAGATTAGAACAGACTAATATCCAATATCAACCCTAAATTGTACTATATCCATACGGAATATAAAACAACGGTAAAACTGTACAACCAGTCTGACACAAGTAAAAAAAATAG